TATGATGGGAAATGTGTGGTTAAAAAAGAAGAAAAAAATATTTATGTGATGGAAAATATTATTTTATTGAAGAATGTGTAGTTGAAAATGAAAATTGATTTACTGTAGAAAATGAAAATATGTACCAAACAGGCCTTTATAGTGACCAAAACCTTAACACTTATGACATTTTGCAAATTTAGATCTCTTTCTAGACTCACTGGAATCACATCTATGTCTCCCTTTAGTTTTTTTCTTATTTCTAAATATTTTTTGAAAATTCTTAACAAAGTATGTTATTTCTTCATCATTAAGTGATTCCGAATCAGATCAATCATACTCTTCTTCCTCGACAATGTGATAGACCAAGAATAACTAACTAAGAGGAGCATGAATTGATTTTTAAATATTTTTCGAAAAACTAATTTATAATCAAGTACGTAATAAATAGATAGATTAATTTAAATAATAAGCACGAATATGAAATTAGTAAGTAAAGATGGATAGAGAATGCAAACAGCATAATTATGGATGTTTGATCCAATACAATGATTTACGTCATCTGTTATCATGCTCTTCGGCACAAGCAATGTCAATTTCACTATGTTGATTGACTTGTAGTGCAATCCAACCATTTACAAAACTTTCAGTGACTTACAGATGAGGAGCATCGATCATTTTACAATGTTGAGCTTTACAGGACATCAACACGACCCATAAGTTTGAAGAAAATTGATGTTACAAATTGAAACTTCTCTCTTAATAAATGATATGATCATAATTAAGTATCAAGAAATAAATAGGATAGCACTTTAATGAATAGTAATGAATGAAGCTCGAGTGTTAGGTAAGAAAAACTTTGATGTGTAGAATGATTTCAAAAGTTAATTTGATCAAATGTTTTTCAAATCTAAAATGATTTGATAATAATAAATGATATGAGAAATCAATACAATTTTACTTAAAAGAATCTCATTTGAATGCTCTTTTTTGTATTTATTAATGACAAGTGAGTTGATATGTATAGCAGTTGAAAAAGTAAACTTTTTCAGTAGAATCGGACGACCATCCTGACGTCTGAATAGTACCAGACGGCTGAATAGCTATTACTTCGTCAGAAATCAGAACGGTAAAAAATCTGACAGTTGGAGGTGGACCGGATGTCCAGTTCACCATCCAGATTTCCGGATAGGTAGAAAAACATATTCCTCTGGTTTGTCCGTTTTGATTTTTTGACAAGGTAGACTTTAGAATTTCCAATGTAAGTGATGCTAATAAATTGAAAATTAAGTTGAAATTCTTGCTTTTGAAAAATAATTTTTGTGCAAACGATTTTACGAAGTAAATTTTTATCGTACATAATAGTTCGTCATTTGAACTTTTAATAAGTCGTTGCTAAAAATTAAAGTATTTTACCTTTACAAGTGAGTTCAAACATATAGTACTAATCTTTTCGATTGATTTGTCGCGAGTGCACAATTTGTTGTTATATTTTGAATTTGGCGCAAGTGTTTGATTTGTCTCCAATTGTTTTGGCGCGGTACCTGATTGAGAATGCTCGATTTCCAAGTTTCATTGTGAATGCTCGATTTCCATCACGTTCGTAACATGTGACAATGAAGATTCGAATATAAGTGTTAGATATAAAAATAGTTTGTTTGTTATAATCAAAATATAAGATCGACCATAGATCAACATTGTGTTCAGGGCAACATATCTTTTCTTCTTAGATTGAGATACGGTGAGTTTATGAGTCTGGAGAGATCCAGCCAATTCTTCAATCTTAACAGCATCTAAATCATTGCTATCCTCGATAGCTGTAACTTTAGGTCTAAATCTTTTAGTTAATGGTCTCAGGATGTTTCTGACAATTTTAGACTCCGAAATTCTCCTACTTAGGTTAAAACTAGAATTAACTACGTCATTCAAGCTCGCAAAACAATCATCGAAGGTCTTATCATCCTACTTTCTTCAAACCTAGTGATTAACATCTATAACTTAGAATTCTTAACAGCCTGAGTTCCCTCGTGCGTGGTTTGTAAAATATTCCAAACCTCTTTGACAACCTCACACATGGATACACGTCTAAATTTTTCAGGTGATACAACCATAAATAGAGAATGAAGCCCTTTACTATTCCAATTATACTCATTTAAATCTTTCTTAGACCAGGTTGAAATATTAGTAAGGGTAACTACACCTGCAACTATGGTAGATGGGGCGGTCCAACTATTCACTACGCTCATCCATCAATTTCAGAAATGCTCTCATTTTAACTTCTCAATAGGCATTGTTACTGACATCAAAATATGGTGGGACATACAAGAACTATTTATCTAGAAAACTAGGGTTAAGATCAATTTTGGGCTCTCATACCACTTGAAAGTTACTAGTTTAACCCTAAAATCACCTAATATGTGAATAACGCGGAATTAAATTCGTCAATTAATTATTCTAGATGTTTAGTCAATTAAATCAAATTATCCTATGTTGAATTGCCGTAATAAATAATTAAAATAGTAAATAACACAGGATTTGATGATGGAGAAAACCCTTAACTAAGTAAAAATTTCGGGACCAAATCGTAGTTTCCACTATAGACAATAAGAACTTACAGTAGGATCCAACCTAAAAAATCCACTAGACTCGCTGATCTAATTCATGCAATCTCCAAGACCCGCTAGAACGTGCTTCACTCACATCTGCTCCCGATCTTCTGAAATTCTCCATCTCCTGTGAAACACCAAGAATGTCTCGTTCTTGTACTCTTCATGTGCTTCTGGTTGTCTAACCTCCCTCAATCTTCAACAACCACTGAATGCTATTGAAAAAGCACCTTCGTAATGATATCTAGGAAGTGGGTGTTTTGGATTATGTGAATTTCAATATTTTTTCCAAACTTGTGGTTGATTGATCTCAAGAATCAAAATGTTATCTAAATTTTTGGATGTATTCTTGGATCTTGGAATGATGTTATGAAGATGTAAAACAATGATCAACACCAAAAAACGTATTGGGCATTGAATATTTATAATATGAGTGTTTATGTAGTATATGATAGTTAAAACTCTTTAAAAAATCAAATTGTGATTTTTCGGACAACACCGTCGCTCGAGCGCCAGACGGACGAGAGGTGTCTCTCTCGAGTGAGAGCCGGGCGATAGTGATTATGTTTTGGACGCTCGAGCATTAGCTAGGTAGCGAGAATCCGACGACTCTTTATTCTTGTTCCATACTCGAACTTAAAGACTCTTAATTTATCTATACAATCATCCAAAAAGACTCATTGACTTTTACAATTCTTTTGTAACAATTATATTCTTTTACAATAATCATTTTGTCTAAAAATTTGTCAATACAACTAAAAACCTAACATTTATTTTTGGTTAAATTGTGTGGATATATAGTGTTTAAATTAATGAATTTAATAAGAGTAATGTCGGAATGTAATGAATATAATACTTCTAAAATTTTTAGAATGGATATATTTGTTAGGCGATAGATATATAAGAATGATTGATGAAAATAATGAAAATAATTGCTCGTTTAATATTTTTACTCCTAAGCATGTATCTTGCTATTCCAAAATGTATTTTAGGAAAAAAAGAGACTCAAGCAGGCTCTAAGCATGTTTCGAAATATATTATTTTTAGTGATTATAGTTGAAAATAAGTTATTTATCTATTATAAGATAATAATTACTATTAAAATAAGTACTTTTTTTTCATTTCAAAGTAAGAAAAAAATGTAAAATCTATCAAAAGACATTTTGTATCAAAAAATTATTTAAGACCCTGTTTGATGTACATTATTGAGTGGATAGTACATTTTAAATAGTGATTTGATAAGAAATATGTGGTTAAAAAATAAGGAAACTTTTTAGATCACATATAATATTATATTATTGAAGATTGCGTGGTTGAAAATGAGTTTTGAAAAAATGAATTTTTTGTAAGAATGTGAATCAAACAGGGTGTAAAAGTAACTTTTATTTATTTTTAAGCTATGCCCCTATTTGATACACGTTCTTAAGGAAATAATGTATTTTAAATAGTGATGTGATTGAAAATATGTGATTAAAAAGAAGGAAATTTTTTAGATTTGCGTCTAACATTATTTTATTGAAGATTAAATGATTGAAAATGAGTATTGAAAGAAAGAAGGTGTGTTTGTCTCCCATTATTGAGAAAAAAATAGATTAACGAATAATATTTTTTGGAGAATGTGTGGTTGAAATTTGAAATTTAAAGTAACTTTATCGATTTATATAGAATATTTTATTTATTTATTTTTATTTATTTTTTTTGTTTTTTTTTGATATCCACGTATCTTAACTTACACCAGACTATGTCCTGGACCACCCATCATCGGCCCCTCATCCTAACTTACATTAGACTATATCCTGGACCACCCATCCCCGGCCCCTCAGTGATGGGTGGAGGTTAATCGCGTGATATGCCCAAATTGACCAGGGTCTGTGCACCCTTTATACTCCTGACCTCAAGGGAGCCTTCCTCTATGGTTATTACATCACCAAGCTGCTCCACCATTGAGTATTACAACACTCAGTTGCTCTATCCAGGAATCGAACTCCCCACCCTGAGGTTGCAAGTACAGCAGTGTCCATCCTTTGCCAACTTGGATGTGCCCCGAGGGGCGTGTATAGAATATTTTATTGGGTGAATGTGTGGTGGAGAATTTTATTGTAGCAAATAATTTTTTGAAATAATGATGGGCTGAATTTATTTTAGAACGTGGATCAAACCAGGACTACACAAACGAAGCACAATAGCTTCCATAAAAAATGGTCGAAATTTCGTAGCGTCCCGCGCCTCTTGCCTTTTATATTTTGAAACCCCATATTTCTCGCTCACGCCATCTTCCCTCCATTGTCATCCCGCCATTTACCCCTGCACCCACCCTATTAAACCTCATCCCCTCCTCCACTTCCACTCCCCTTCTCTCTTTCTCTCCCTACACGTATAGTTTTACTCTTTATCTAAAGTTGTATCTACGTGACAATGGAGCGCCGTCTCAGGAGATACTCATCGCCTAACAACACGGCGGCGTACCTCCGCTACTTGAAGCCCGGCGCGTTGGCTCAACTCAGGGACTCACGAATCAGTGCCTCCAGAACTCACCGAGTCACTAAATCGCTGTTCCAGGCTCAGATCTGTGCTTCTACGCTTCGGTCTTCTGCAGCTGCTTCCCCTGGCTCGCCTACGCAGACCAACTGGCCTCCGTCCTCTCCCAAGTTCTTATCGGGCCGGATCTGCGGCCCGTGTTGCCCTCAGAGGAAGAAGCTTATGGCTGCTAGAGCTGTTTTCATCTCTAGCCCGAACTTCTCAGGAACCGTCCCGGATTCACCCGGCCAGCGTATGGATTTGTTCGGTGGGAGTGAAAATAGTGCCAATAATAACATTCTAGTGGCACATTGAATGAACTGTGGAATTGCTTTGTCTGTTAGCAGATGCTACAGATTGGTTATTAATTCTAGAGGTCCTTCGTGGATTATGCGGAAAAAAAAAAAAAAAGAAACAGAAAATGCGTTTATATTTCCCTTAGGTTTCTTCTGTATTTTAAGCAATAAAAACCATTACTGACAAATGATTCAAACTTGGTATCGATTGAATACTGTTGTTAAATAGCTGCAATTATATTACTATTTACACTTTTCCTGGTGTTAGGTTTTGATTTATAATTCCATTGCATTGAATGAATTACCATATAATATGTTGATATTCATACAATGTTTCCTACTATCATTATTCCACATATTATTGGGGTTCGGCTTTAATATTAACTGGTTGTTCCCGATTTTCCTTTACTGATTTATTTTGGTTCCGGTCTAGTCTCACTTTTTAAGCGGATATACCTTCATTACCAAGTGTGGCATGATTAATTAAGTTTATCTGCTTTATTTCTCAACTGATTTGAATAGTTGTGTTGACATGTAACATTGAGGAGAGAGGTTATGATTGAAGGATTGACACATTTGATGTTTGGTGTGTTTGCAGCTGGTTTTCTTAAGTACATACAGATATTATTTGGGAATAAGGGCAATTAGAATCTAATAATATTCATGTTGTTCCATCATTTTAACCATGCCTTATCTAGAATATATTGTTGGATCATATATGTATAATTTCTTAAAATTGGTTAAATTGTCTTGTTTCTGATGAAAAAGGGTCTAGCATGAGATGTCTATTGTCCCATATCATTTTAATCTTAAGGGAATTACCTAATTTGTAGCCAACTAAAGGTTGTTTGCTTTCGGTGTATAATTTTACGATGCTTAAGAAAAATTATATTCTTAAGAATCTGATCTGCAAGCTCAATGGCATATATTTTTCAATTTACTATCTGATTTGGCTATAGCCACGTTGAGGTTAGTTTTTGTTTTGATTAGAATATATTAACTATTCTAAGAATATCAAATGATCATCTTCCAGGTTTGATAATTGTTGGTCTAAGGTATGCTAGGAAGTACTGTTTGCATCTTCTGCACATTCGTTTGCATATTGAAGTAACATTTGTGCAATGTTTTGATTTCTTGCTGTGTACGAGCAAGGAAAAGAATTTGTCACTTAAAAATGTTTCAGTCTTTCACAAAATCTCACACTGGCCAGTTTATGTGTTAGAGAAACTGTTGGCTCCTGCTCCTAGCTAGAACATTTGTTTGCACCTACGAAACTGGCTGAATGTCTTCACATGGATGCTTATAATCTCTGTTTGAGAGAATATGGTGACTACAATTGTCTAATGGTAAACATTATGCTTGAGCAAATATTAACACCTCAAAATTTTTTCGTTACCTTTAACAAGTATGTTTCGAGATATAGTAGGATCCTGCTATTTTTGTATTCCCAAGGATTTATCTTGCTTAGATGCCTCGTCTAGGGAAGATGAGAGTAGCTGAGTGGTTGTAATCGATTGTTAATCCGTTGAAGGTTTTCTACGTAGCATGGGAAGATCAACCAAGCGAAGCTTTTTCTTCTTTTTTGGCTTTGTCGTGAAGTGAAATTGCATTCTTTATCTATATGATGGCAGGTAGATCTATATCTAAGAAGTTGCATATGTAGTTCTATTTCCAAACCAAAATATTATTGCTTTTTTTTTTTGGGATCAATGAAGAAGAAATTTAGTTAGATACGCACTACTTTACATGATTGTTGAGTACAAAATTTTAACTGTTTTTCCTTTTATAGTATTGTTTATACCCTGTTTGAATCTCATTTTTAGTCAAAACTCATTTTGCAACAGGGATACAATTGGACACTAAACCAACCTAATTATTTTGTGTTAGACTGCTCATGTAATAAAATATTACCACTGTCTCANCGCAACCAACCTAATTATTTTGTGTTAGACTGCTCATGTAATAAAATATTACCACTGTCTCACTTTTTCTCCTTTTTGTTCTCATTTCAAATTGTGTACACGTTTGTTACAGGAACCAATTTGAAGGGCATTTGTGGAATGCAAGATAATTTATATTGCAAACGGGTCAAATCTGGCATTTTTTACCTGCTGTTGTCAGATGAAATTATCAGGGAAATGTATGGGGCTCACACAAAAGGCAAATTACTATTCAAAAATGGGAATAAAACGGATGCCAAACGGGGGCTTAGTGTTGTATAGTTTGATTGTCAAACATTAAAGTTAACAACTTTCAGCTTGCCAAGAATGAAAGCAATAACATAATGCAAGTACAAGGGGAAATTCTACATTGGAAAGGTGACGTAACTGCCTCTGATGATTTTCTATTTCAGCTATATTCATGTAAGATGCATTATTTAGTTAGCTTGTTGAATCTCTTCTTTATGGCCTATGTCGATAGTGTATATGAATTTGCAAAATGAGACATCGAGGAATTTCGATGGTTGACTTGTGCAATAGATGGTGGTGGATCAAGTTTAGAGAGTGGAGATTTAGCGATAAAGATGGTGAAGGTGGAGAAAATTGTGTTTTTTATATGTTTATTTAATTAAAGTCAAAGATAATAGGTAAAAACATCTTTTTTAAAAAAAAAAATTCCTCTGTAATTGAATATAGGGTAAAATCGTCAACTGAGAGACTTCATTTCTGAAAATGTGGAACATTGGAGACTCAAATGTTATAAACGAAAGGTTGAGGACCTACATGCTCCATCCCATAAAAGTTTGGGACCTTAAACTTTATATTTCCCTAAATTCAAATAAAAGTAAAATTTAAAACAATGTTCAAAGAAAATAAAAAACCCAATTGTACGTGCCCGACTTGTGTCCATAAAATTCTTTCAATCATGTTATATGTACATTATAACTAACATAAATTTGACATTTTTTCATGTAGCAGTAATTTAAATCATTGATTTTAAATACATCCATCCCATCACTGTTCAGATTCATTTCACCTAGGGGATGTCATTCTTTATATGAATTAGGATGTACATCTAGCTTAATTCAAATTCTTTACTCCAAACTAGTTGGCACGATCTTATTTATGTATAATCCTTCTTTTCAAGCATTAAAAAAATTATCGAGGAACTACTTAACAAATAGATCAAGTAGCGAGTCTAACTCATCAACTTTAGATTGAGTAAGAAGTCCGAATCGTTGACTCTTAGCATTCTAACTCCATTTTCAAATGAGTCGGTCGGTTTGACTGTATTTTTTGTTTCATTTAAGAAAAAATAATGCGATTTATTCATTTTAGGTAAAAAATAATAATTACAAATAGATGCGTGAATGCCTTAATAAAAATAATTTTGCTACATATACAAGTTGGATATCAAATTTGACACTCTTAAATGATCCTTTTTTATATATTAATTTTAACGAAATTTAAAATAGCTAATGTCTCAAGTTTTGACACTAGCGTCAAACTTGTCGTGCTCTAACATTGGAGATCAAGCTTAATTATAATAAAAAACCTTCCTTTAAAAAGTTAAAGTTGCTGTTTTCTTTATTGTCTTCATCCCATTTTCTGTTTTCGATTTTCTAAAACAGTGAAATTACAAAGAAAACTGAAAACGAAAAAAAATATCGTTTTGAGCGTGTTCAATTAAGACCCTGCATGGAGCAGCTTCAAAAATAGTGAAAATTGATTATTCACTCGTTGGAGCACAGTTTCCCAAAATTCATGTGAGATACATGTCAACAATGGTTGCCCGGTGGGGCCCCTGAACGGCTATAATTCTGCTGAAAATTGGATTTTAAGCTGCTCCAGACAGGCTCTAAAACAAAGCAAAAATTTTCAAAATGCGTTTTGCCTGTTTTCAGTTACGCAACCAACAAAAACCATTGCCATCGCCACTACTCCACACCGCCATCGTCGCACATCCAAAATCGCCGCCGACGACGTCACGACCCAAAACCATCGCCACCGCCGCCGCCACAACCACAACAGTAGAAGAAGCCGAGGATGTCGTGATGTAACCACAACAGAAGAATAGTAGAAGAAGCCGGCGACGTCGCGACCCAATACCACCGCCACAACAGCAGAAGAAGTCGGTGACACCGCATCCAACCACCGCATAGAAAAAACAAAAAAAAGAGAGGAAGAAGACGGCGATCGCATGGAGCGCCGCTCGTCGCGACAGCTCCCCGTGGTCTTCGGCCCCAACGATCTTGCGAGGGAGATGATGGAGAGAGAGACGACAAAGAGGAGGGGAAGAAGAAAGAGGAGAGACGAGAGAGGGGGAAAGGAGAGAACAAGTTTTTCAATTTTTTTTTTTGAAATAATTTTTCAAAAGGACAAAAAAGCACACTTTTAATAATAGACGCACAAAATTCAAAATAATTCAAAACGAAAAACTGAAAGAACAGCCCCCCAAACTCCAGAAAAATCTGCATTTTGTAGTCCTTTGGTGCTTCCTCCATAGTCTGCGTATCTTTGAAGCAAAACCAATGGCAGAACCTAAAACCAAGTACGATCGTCAGCTCAGGTAAAGATACCTATTCGGCTATTCTTTATCAACATTTTCCCTATCTATTTCCCAATAGTCCCTTCTTTTTTCAATTTGAACAATGGTGTTTGCAGAATTTGGGGTGAACAAGGGCAAGCAGCACTTGAAAAATCAAGCATATGCTTGTTGAACTGCGGGCCTACTGGCTCCGAAACCTTAAAAAATCTTGTCCTCGGTGGGGTCGGAAGCGTCACCGTTGTTGATGGCTCTAAACTTGAACTTGGCGACCTGGGAAATAACTTCATGGGTATTGTATTTTGTTTTCTAAATGTTTATTGCGAACAAGTTCTGATTTTTATGGGGGGGTTTTTTTTTTAACGTTTTACGTTTTTGAAATTTATTTAGAATTTCTGAATTACTGTGATTATGGTAGTGGACGAATCAAGTGTTGGTCAATCCAAGGCGAAAACTGTTTGTGCGTTTTTACAAGAGTTAAATGATGCTGTCAAGGCAAAATTTATTGAAGAGTATCCAGAGGCATTAATCGAA